GGCTAGTAAACAAATCAGTAGATGATATTAAATAAGGAAAGATGGATGAAAGGAATGTCGAACTAGACTTTTTTGTGTGGAAGAATAATTACTTGGAACCTACATTGAAGATTCTTTAAAGAAAGTATCATGCATTTTTGTACTTGAATCATAGAATGAATCTCTGTGTGAACACCACAGGTTTTGGCTTATGGTAGAAATTATAGAACCAAATGAAGGGTTCTAAGTGGCACTTTCTCATCTTTGGTTCAGAGTGATTACATATTTTGCTTCCAGATGTAGGATAGTACATATTGTTCATTAATGAAAACTTCCATCTTTAGGCATACTGAAATATTTACAGGGAAATGGTTATACCTGTGATAGTATTCAAAATAATACAAGGTAGGTACTGGAGCAATAAATGCAACAAAAGTGGTCCTGAATTGATAATTATTGAGGCCAAATAATGTGTCCATGGATGTACCTGGCTATTCTGGTTTTGCATGTTTGAATTTTATTAGTAAAATGTGTTTAAAATCTTTTAGTTTTCTTCTATGATGCCGGCAATGATGGTATTTATTCCTATTTTACTGATAGACCTCTCTGATTCTATTAAGGACCTTCTCCACAGGTGAACACATTTAGTGACAGGCAGAGCTAGCATTCTGTGTTCCATTGACTTCTACACTAGTATAGGCTACACTTGATTGAATTTGGAAGTTTCCACTAGGTTATTAATATTCAGAGCAGTTTACTGGATTCTTAGGTCTTTGAAAAGGTCTTCAGTGGGTGCAGGTTTGACAAAATGAAATCATCTTTTTATGTTCTACCTTGATACCTGGAATGTTCACCCCAGCCCACAAGTGACTGGGTTAACACTTAAATATCACTCAAAACTCTAGTTTTTCCATGATCCCCATGTAGCCTTTCAATAATCATCCCCTCCTCTACGCTATGCTCTGTATATTGTTCAAATTTCTGTCATAGCATACTTGACATTTCAAATATAGTATATGCGTGTAGTTTTTACCTCTGAAACTAGAATCATGGACTTAAGTTTTAGGGCTTTTTTTGCTTGCAGAATGACAACATCTAGTAAGTATATACCCAGTCACTCAAACAGGCCTAAATCCATTGATAATCAGGCAATAGATGTCCTTGGTTTGGTCAGTTTTTGAGGAGTGAGAATTTCCCTGTAGAGTATGATGGCAGTGGAATTGAGTAGCAGAAAATATTTCTGCCACTATGTAATGCATAGTGGATGGCACAGAAGGGTGACAACTGAAGTACTACAAAGATACCAGGTCCAAGTTATCATACTTGATATGTTGAAATGCTTTACAATGTGATTATCCCTCATTTTGAAAGAATCCTTGCTTTCTCATCTCATGAGTAACTGCTTGTTAAAATTCTGGCACAAGATCATATAAAATAATATTTATCAAAATGAACTCCAGAAAATGGAACCAAGAGTTTTTTTCCTTTGTTGCTGCTTTTTGTTCTCTTGTTTACATGTCTTTGGGAAAGCAAGGTAGGGTACAGAAATTGAGGGATAAAGGGTGAACAAATGCAGCAGTGGTACTCACTAGATATTATGTTGAAAATGAACTATGCAACTTCTGGGAAGGGGGAAAAACTGGGAGAGTGAGGGAAAGGATGACATTATTCAAAAAATGTATTATTTACCTGAGTTATATAACTGTAACCCCTCTGTGCACCACCTTTGTAATAAATAAAATTCTGGCACAAGATATTCCTGACAAGAATGGTTTACAATGTTTTGTAATTAGGTGTAGTTGTCTCAGTACCAGCTTTCTGGGTTGTTTTTTTTTGGGGGGGGGGGGGTTCCAATCATGAGGCCTGAACTCTGGGCCTGGGTATTGCCCCTCAGCTCTTCAGCTCAAGGCTAGCGCTCTACCACTTGAGCTATAGCGCAACTTCCGGGTTTTTTTCTTTTTGCTTATTCGGTGATGAGGAATCGAACCCAGGGCCTCATGCATGCAAAGCAAGCACTCTACCACTGAGCCACCTTCCCAGCTCAGCTTTTTTTTTTTAAGCAAAAAGAGGGATGGGTGGTCATCAGTAGTTTTCACATAATTCATAATATAGAGTCAATCAAGTCTACCTGAAAAATAATCATAATTGAATGAACTCTACTCCTGCTCCATCCCTTTTGCAAGGCCCATCTAGTCAATTTCACTGTTAAAAAAAAAAAGTGTCATTTGAATGTCCTTGGGGATCCTTTCATTCCCAGTTAGGTTTGAAACTCACTGGTAAGCAAGAGATCCAGCAAGGGCAGTGTAAAGGCAGTATTAACATTTTTAGTGGAGAGCCAACTTGTTTGTGGTTTTGCTTTGCTTATAATAAGCTCTTCCAAGTAAAACTGATGGATTGGCATAGAAACAAGGGTTCAAAAGTGATATCAAAGGGCTTTCCAAAATGCTAAGCATTGGGTGAATGACTGCTCTGCTTTGGGTGACCATCATTTATTTTACCTCGCTGAACCAAGAGATATAGGATGCAAAGTTCTTAATATATGCTGCCTGAGTATACAAAGAAACCTATTAGCTTATGTGGCCTATGGTGTTGTCTTAATACTTTACAATCTATAGTTACATTGCATACTTCAAACAAATGCAAATTCCATTACACACTGCCATTGAAAGGTGCTTTCACTGTATACTGATTTGAAAGTAGTCACTGATAGAGTAAAAACTAAGCATATGTTGGGTAAACAGCAAAGCATTTTCCACACAATACTGCATTTTAAAATAGCTAACTTTATTATCAGTGAGAGGATAGGCACACAGTGGATTTAAATCTGCTGAAACTTTATTGAAACTAGATCTGTTGATTACAGAGTAAGATCATAATCATTATGGGTCAACATACAATTTAAACCAAAGGCAATTGTCTAGCCATCTGCCAACCCCAGCTATCCATTTTACAAACGCATGCTGTTAATCACAAGGGAGGTCAGAAGGAGTTTTGCTAGTTCCGTGTAGCCTATCGTTGCTACCAGGAGAAAATAAACAAACTCTGACACTTGTTCTACTGATGATGGATGGAACTTGGAAGATGTATTTTCAAGGAACATGGCAGGCTGAAATTGCTGGCAATGGTCTTTCTTTAAAAACAGAGCATTTCCAGTAAGAAGGCACACATTTTAAATATGTTCATATATGAATGAGCATGAGATAACCAGATTTTATGATTAACAGATGAGACTATAATATACCAAAGTTAGTGCACATGTATGCACGTAGAGCTGCCACATTACTTGGGCTCTTCATGAAAAGCAGTTTGCAAATCAGTTTGTTCAATTTGTAATCAATTTACAAATTATTTTGTTCATTTGCTAATCATTCTACCCAACAATGTAACAACATAAACAGAACATAATAGGTCTCTTGGTATGTTTCCCACAGCAAATGATGGCAGACATTTCAGGTTCCTGTTGTCCCATCATCTTGAAGATCAAAAGCAGCATTGAGATTAAATCCTTCATTAAGACAACAATCAAGATACATGATTTTAAAAGAAAGTTCCATCTACTTTTAATTTTCAAACATTGGTAATAGGAGTTTTATACCAAGTAATGTTTATTCTAATGAAGTTTTCTTGTACATGGAACATTGGGGTACAACTGAATCAGAAGGTCCCCATAGACTACCAGGCAGTACAAGTTAAGACAATAAGGTCACCTTCCTATCACGAGGAGCCAGTAAAATGCATAGATAGGTGGAAGTCCAAAAAGATTATCCCAAATGTTACATTCACACAAGTACAAAAATGTGGCTAACTTGAAATTTTCCCCATAAGCCTGATTTTTAAGATAATACCTTTCTGAAAACATTTAATTTATATTCCCCATAAACAAGATACATTAACATGGTCTTTTTCCATCTCTTAGCTGTACAATGATATTGAAGCAAATTACTTGGGTCTGAAAACAATGTGGATCTGGACTGCCTCTGGTGTAAGTTGGAAGAGAAACTCTGGAAAGTTCAAAACAGTACTTAGGCAAGAACAGAACTTTCTCCTTTTCCCCAAAACACATGAATCAAAGAGATGGCTGCCACACAGTGTGGAATGTACGACATTTATCACCTTACAGAATGCAATTATAATTATGACTCCCAGAGCCAGCAAAAATTCTGTCAAAATGTTATCGCCATGAAATGATATCGAAGGTTTATTTTTATTTTTGTTATTTACTTGGACAGAAAATAACTCTCTTAATGTTTGCAATATGATGGCTTTTCTCCCCCTTATCACTAAAGGGTAGTATGAATGAGTACTAACACAACTGGACATTTAATTTCTACTTGGAATTTACTTTATAACTGAAGACTGATATGTGGGATGATCACTTCATTATTGAAAATGTGAGAAGACTGGCTGAAAATTACATTGCCTTCAATCTTGTGTCTCTTCCCACCCATACAAAATAATTACTTTAGAAAATAGCCAAGAACCACAAAGGAATACGGATAAACGTATTCCTACATTCACAGAAGAACCCTGTAAAATGACAGCCATTCTCATAGCAAGAAAAGTGGAGCTGATTTTTTATTTCATGTGACTCAATATAGAAATGAAAATCAAAAAAGGCAAAACCTTATACAAGGCACTGCATGAGAAGCAAGATAACATTTCAGAATCCTGGATAATCTACTCAAACTGGAGACATTTTACATTTATAACCTGCACCAATAATACAGATTTTCTTAAAAATAGTTTTCAATTTTGTATATAAGTGTTTCTCAAATTAGGCATGGTAATTGGCAGAGTAGACAGATGTGCTGTGTGATATTACAAGTCACTGAACTTGTCCAAATCTCAGATTCCTCAACACTAAAGTTAGAGAGCAGGGCTATATATTGCTAAAGTTCTTCCCTGCCACTATGGCTCATGATATAATATTATCCAGCTACTCTTCTATTAATCTGGTTTCTAACTAACATATCCTCAAACCTCTAAACCCCCCTCCCTTACCTAACACCCTCCCACTCCCTTCGCCCTCCCTAAACCCCTGATGTTAATGACACTCTCTTCAGATTTGTCACCTCAAGAAGGGCAGGGACCTGCGAAAACTGGCATTCCTCTGTGTCCTTGGAGGCAGCATTATTGCAACAGTTACTGCTGTAGCCTTCTTTTGTTTCCTGCCTACATACACATTTCTCACCACTTCCCAAAAGGAGTCCAAGATAGAGTCACTGGTGGTGAGAAGAGGTAGTTAACGGGATGGTTACAATCAACCTACCCCTGAATGCAGTCTGGTACTTATGACTTCTGATGCTATTCCCTTGGAGGTAACAAATACATATGCCTTCAAAGACATACATTAAGAGTCTGGAGAAACAAACCTAGTTATTAGAAAGTAGTCACCAGATATGCAAAGAATTCAAACTGTCATCCCCAAAATGCTTCCTCATTCTGTAAATGACTGGCTATTGGAGACTGGTGGTGACCTAGCCAATGAATCTGAGTTATGGAGGAAACACATACTAAACAGATCTTATAAAAAGTAAGCAAGCTATGCTCATGGCTACACCCAAACCACAAAAGTCTTCATGCAACTTCTCACACAATGCTGTATCAAGTCCTCTTGTGTCTAACTCCTTGTGAGAGAAGTTGTGCATCAACCAGTTCATTTACTTTCTCTAGCATCTGAAAGCAATATAGCAATATATTAATTATCCAAATGCATAAATTACTCCAGAGTGTGTGTGTGTGTGTGTGTGTGTGTGTGTGTGTGTGTGTGTGTGTGTGTGTGTGTGTATGAATGTCTGAACCTCCAGGAGGGAAAAAAAGAATCCATTTCCAAAGCACCATTGAAATGAAGATAAACTATCTGCTAGGGCAAGGTAGCTGGCAACTGGGAGGAAAGATTAGCACCAGTACCCCAATACTCCCTACCTTTTCTCCAGCTTGTATATCTCATAAGAAAATTCCCTTTCATGAGCTAGAGGCATGAGCTTTCTGTGGCTGTTGTCTAGTCACCAGACAAAGCAGCAAAACTCAAATTCTCTGGCTTCTCACTTCTGAACTACATGTTACATACTGTCTTCCACACATACTGTGCTCTTCAATAAAAAACAAGATCTGGAATATGGAAAGTTTAAACAAATTTAAGTACATCCCAAACATCCACGTGTATCATCTACCTGTGAATAGTCCTAGTACTCATACACATTCCAACAATAAACCTTAGAGCACATTCTGATTGATTAATCTGCCTTTTAGAAGTACTCCTTAAGTATACCAGAATATATTTGGTTGGAATTCACATGGCAAACCTTAAATTGTTCCAAAAAGATGACCCTTTAAAAAATCCCCTCCCCCAACCCTTATCTCCACCCTCAGAATATGAACAACCAAAAGGGAAAATGATTAAAAGCATTTTTGCTGATAAACTGCAGCTCTTGATTTAGATGAGATACTCCACCATCTCTGCATCAGGCTCTTGTCCCAGGATCTGAATGGGAGCTTTCCTTTCCAGAGTACTGGAGTGGAAAACCAGGCCATCTGAATGGAAATAAAGCATTAGAAAACGTTCAGGGAGGGCTGGGATGTAGCTCAGTGGCAAAGTGCTTGCCTAGCAAGTGCAATGTCCTGGGTTTGATCCCCAGTACCAAAAAAGAAAAGACAAAAAATCCAGTTAACGAAAAACAAACAAGAAAACATTTAGGGACACAATGCAAACCCTATTTTCAAAAGACATGATTGGAGAGCTGACATGAATCTTATGACAAAGTATGACTTCCCTTCCACCCACCTCATTTACTTTACTGGGAGAATAATGGGTTTCACTCCTGGCCCATTCCCATCTCCATGAAGAAGAAAAGTCATTTATAGACTTTCTTCTCTCTTTTACTGAATCCCACCTGGAACATGAATATCTCAATCTAAGTCATCAAGCTATAAGCGTCAGGCACCAACAAATATATCTGTATATGAGGGGGTGGGGGGAAAGCTACCTGCTACAGAAAATTAGCATTACCTGTCTTGTCTGGACTGTAGGTCAAATTTGATGTAGACAGACGATGTGATCCAGAACTGGTGGCTGGACTTGCAGGAGCCTCAACCTGAGCCAGAGCTGGAGCTGGAGCTGGAGCTGGATTAGCAGCCATAGCCGGAGCTGGAGTTGGTGCCTGAGTCTGACCCGGAGCAGAAGCCTGAGCCACTGCTGGTGCTGGAACCGGAACTGGAGCTGGAACCGGAGCCGGAGCAGCTGGAGCAACCTGAACAGCAGCAAAAGCAGCAGAAGCAGAAGCAGGAGCAGGAGCAGGAACAGGAGCAACAGCAGATACAGCAACTGGAAGCTGAGTAGCAGCAGCTGGAGAAACAGCAGCAAGAACAGGAGCAGTTGCTGCAGATGGGGCAATAGCAGCAGCAGCAGCAGCAGCAGCAGCAGCTGGAGCAGAAGCAGCAACAGCAACTGGAGCAGCAGCTACCATGATGGTGGTGTTGGTGGCAGCAGTGGCAGTGTTGGTGGTAGCAGTGGCAGTGATGGTGGCAGCAGTGGCAACAACGGCAACTGGAGCAGGAACAGAGATGGGAGCGACAGTTGCAGTTTTGTTCGGTTCCGTTCCACGTTCGGTTTGGGTGCTGCAGTCTCGGCTGCCAGTCTTGGAGTGAGCTGACAGCAGAGGAGTGGAGGGGGGCACCGGTGAGGGTGTGGATGGGATGGACTCAGCACGGTAGTCTCCACCCAGGAGAATACCTACAAATGAAGCAGGGAAAGAAATCAGAGAACAGTTAAGTAATTTCTGTCCAAGCATTTGTTTAGCAGTTCTCCCTTGTATTTGAGGAGAAACATGAATGGATCTAAGTAAGTAAGTTCCATTATTTTTGCCTCTAACAAACCTTTGGAATCAAGCATTTCCTACATGGCTAAAAGTTGCTTTGTAGTTTGAGAGATCCCCTTTGGTCACTGATAGTAAACTCCCTGCACAATATAGTAAACTTTTAAGTGCCCTGGTTATTGGTTCTGATTTATTTTTTTTCCCACTGGTAATTGAGCAATTCTACTACATTCCAGTTATAACCCCTACCACTTGTTACCATAATGCTGAAACAGTCCTGCAGAAAGCCACATGAAGGTGTTAATAATCATATGGCCTAAGGTTCTGAGCATGACCAGAGTTCCAAGACTGTTACTTGTTAGTAAAAGAACACAGCAAGTGTCAGAGGCCATGAAAAACAACAAGAAGGCATGAAAAACAACAAAAAGAGCTAATATATACATACTAATATATGTGTGTATTTGACCCCCAGGCTCTAAAAATGTGCTCCTTGGTATTTACAGTACTCTGGTGTTTTGATTAGACAAGAAGGAATAAACAGGAGTGGATTGAAAAGGTACATTCTGTTCTCTCTTCAAAACACTCTGGTAACCAAAATTTGCCACCCAGCTCCATTTAGCTTAATGAGAACTCTGGGCCTTCTTATTGTAATTGAGGAAAGAATATAGAAATGTTGAATGTCAGAGGTTTTTTTATGAGTTGATGGCCACATTGGCTTTGGATAAATCAAACTTCCCACATGGCAAAGGCTAAGTCTGAGGAATTTTTAGATGAAATTAAATGTCATTCAAAAAGAACATTTTATTCCCCAATGTTCTCTCCATGAGACTGCCATGTGTGGAGTTCCTCTTGGATATGTAGGAGCCCCATAGGAGGGAAAAAAAAAACCTAGTTGGGCACACCTCTTTTCCTAGAACCTGATCTGTTGCCCCTTTACTTTGGTGTGTGAGGCACTTGGTCAGGGCTATCTTTAACCATGTCACTATCTTCTTTCTTATTCACTATTATTACCTAGGCTCCCCTTCCAATTCTTGTCATCTCGCTTCTCCTCCATTATGGGGGTACCAGTCAAGGTGGATGAGTGGGAAAGCAAGCCTGATCCAGCATTTGAAATGGACATCAGGGACTTTGCTGGCCGCATGGATGATAGCTGCTCTGTCTTACTCTGTTCCTTCCGGGAGCGCTGCTGGAGCACTTTGATCATGGCATCTTTCTCAATAATCTGGGCATGGAGAGTCTTAATCCTAGGAGTCAAAGACAAAGAAAAGATACAAAGAAAAGCCATTACTACCTCTGATTACTGGTCTTGCTGCCTACATGGACTTCAATTCCCATTTTCTTTGACAAACTTAAGTCTTGTTAGTTCTGCATTGGCAAACAGGGGTTGGTATGCTACAGTTTTAAAATAAAAAGTACATATTTCTGCATACCAAATTGAGTATCAGAATGAATCTAGGAACTGTTTCTTACACCTTGGAATGTCGAAGTATTGACAAAACAAAGTATGTATGAGAGAATCAACATAGTGGGTGCTGCCATGAAGAAACTGAGTAAATGAAAACAATTGAGAAAATGAAGTCTATGAATAATCTTCAGGTAATAAGTAAATGATCCTAAGCTCTACCTCCCTGTTTGAATAGAAGTTGTTTTCCCAAGAAGTCTGTTATGTCATAGAATTGAGGTGTAGTTCTAGAAGGAATACCCCAGAGTGAAAATATAAATTCAGCTATGGCAAATGGATGAAAAGAAATTAGAAAATCCAGAGTACAACAATCCTATGAGGAATCCAACAATTAGTGGGAGTGAACAAAGTAACAGTCATCTCATCTCATACCCTAATGGGATGACAAGGATGGCAGGGATGACAGGGGTGTAAGTGGGAGGAGGGAGGCTACATGATTTTTTTCAGATGTTTTTCCTTCCCTGCTGACCCAACTGGCCTTTATTCCAACTTCTTAGATCTAGACAAGTCCAGATCAACATTTTACCTGCCCTCCATATCCAGGCAACGCTTGTTGGCCATCAAGATTTCTTCTTCCTCCTTCTGGATACGAGCTTCTAGAGCTGTGTCATAGCTGGTGTTAGGAGAGTGGCTGATGACTGTTGTATCCCTGATGAGAAAAATAAGTGTGATGATGATGGGAATGTAGAAAAATCGATAAATGCTACTTCTGTCTTAAGCCAAAGGAGGGTTTGTTGGAAAACCTTAAGATGAAATCATTCTTATTAGGAATGACTGGTTTCTGGATGATTTATTGGTAAAAGTCTCAAAAACTAGGAAAAAGAAGTTGGTGTTAGGGGCATGGCTGCCAAAGTCTCTGGCATTATATGAAATGTCCCATAATTGTTTTCAGGACGAGACAGGCATCCTTCCTAAAACTTTTGGCTTTAAAATTGTACCAAGTAACAAAAATATGAATATATTTTACTTTGTCTTCTGATAGTCCTACAAGAGAAAAAGTAGGTATCGAAGGGAATCAGAGGATGTTTACACAGTTTACTGTGAGGGTTAGAAAACATATCAACAGTTAAGATCTGGTAGAGCATTGGAGCTGACAAAGAGATATTTTGTCTTAGTGCCACTCACTTCTGTATCTAATCTACATTTGTAACACTCTAGTACCAAATCATTTAGTTTATCCTATAAGTGATTGTCCTCTTGACAGAATTTCAACTGCATAAAGGATCATCATGTTGCATTTCAAAGTGTATTCTGTCACTAGGTCAAGACGAATTAACAAGGAAAATGTGGGAAGAGACAGATGAAAAGAGGAGTGAGAGACAGAGAGAGCTAAGATTAAAGAGAACAGTGATTGAATTATATTAGTCAGAGAGGCTGAAGAATATTGAATTGGCCCTGTTTCACTGCCCTTTCTACCAGAATGAGAAAGTGTAAAGGAACTCCAGGTACATTTTCTACTGGCAGCTAGCTATGTTCTCCTGACTTGTCACTTTGACCCATGAAGATGGGGGTGAAGTGGAAAGGGAATGACTACATGGAAAGTGTACATTAATGTTGAGGAAGGTGGGGGCGAGCCTCTACAAAACCATTGCTTATGGCTTATACGCAAATCTAATAAGTAGTTTCAACTTTGAACTTGTTGGAGTGCTGAAATAACTAGAGATGTCATCATTTGATAAATTTGAAATATTTTATATTTTAAGATCTATGCTTCCTCTAGTTTCATTCACTTGTTTGTGGTTCAAGTGGATACGTTGAGATAAACATCACTGCATAATGCTTAGGACTATGTATTTGACTATTTTGAACACTTAGCTCATCTCTCCAAGTACTCTGCCACTAATAACCTTTCTGACTTCAAAATAAATCAGTTACTCAATGAGATGTACAAGACACTATGTTGCAAATGAACTTTACAGCTGGGGTAGGGAGGGAGAAGTTGGGGAGGTGAGGAGGGAAGGGATGGTAGGGGAAAAACAAAGGAGGGGGTAACAATGCTTGACAGGAAATATACTCATTATCTTACTCATGTAACTCAAACCCCTCTGTATATTATCTTTACAATAAAAATATATATTAAAACAAATAAATTAATCAATTAATTGCTCAAAGCCTGACTTACCTCATATGAAATGGAAACCATAAAGATGAAGATTTCATCTTATTGAAGATAAAAGTAAAATTATGCATGTAAATCATACATCATTAGGCACTGTAAAAGCATTCAATGAAGTTATTTAAACAGAAAGAACTAGCTAGACATGGTGGCTCATGCCTGTAATCCTAGCTACTCAGGAGGCTGAGATTTGAGGATAGCAGTTCAAATCCAGGCTGGGCAGGAAAGTGTGTGGGACTCTTATCTTCAGTTAAAAACCAGAAAACCAGAAGGGCACCTGTGGCTCCAAATGGTAGAGTGCTACCCTTGAGCAAAAAGAGCTCAGGGACAGTGCCCAGGCCCCAAGTTCAAGCCCTATACCAAAATAAAATAAAATAAAATAAAGAGTTGTATGTATCAAATGGAGGAAGTCTATAGGTTGAAAAATCCCAGCATTTAGTATAATCCTGGCAGCCTCCTTGTTCTACACCAGGCCAATATGAAATGATAGATGAAGGCTTAGAGTCAGGCCTCTTGAAAAGTACACGGTATCCACGGATATGGGATTTGAACATATGGTTTCTCACTGGGGGAACTGTGGCTGGCAAAAATCCACTTTCACTGCATAAAAGACCTCTCTGGGTACACAGGACTTTGCCAGCTAATTGATATGGACGCTGTGAACTCCTCAGGAATGAAGCCTTAAAATGTGGGACACTTGGTGAATTCCTACAGGGCCACCAGGACTACACTGAACATCAATCTTAAGCTATGAAACCAAGAATTTAGGAAAAAGCAAGCATGCAGTGTTCGAAGGAACAATTTCCAATACTCTGACACTGTCCCTGAGAAAAGCAAGAGAGAAATGCTGGCTACATTCTGACAACTCAGCTTGCAAATCTGGAAGTACATATCCCTGAATTTGATTCCCTAACTCAAATTCTTAAGTAAACAAGTTTTGTCAGCATCTCCCCTCTTCTTCCTTTCTTTGATTAACTATCATAGTGTTTAAATTCCTCTCAAAAATGTCACCCATAACTTTCTTTTTTAAAAATACGTTTTTTATTGCAAAAATAGTGTATATAGGGGTTACAGTTACATGAGTAAGGTAATGGGTACATTTCCTATGGAGCATTGTTACCTCCTCCTTTGTTTTTCCTCTACCATCCTTTCCCTCCCCTCCTTCCTAACACCTCCCCCCCTCCCTGCCACAAGTTGTAAAGTTCGTTTTCAACATAATGTCTTGTACATATAATTGTTACAATGGGTCAACCTGTATCCCTATTTAATAGGAGCAGCATCCTCTCATGAACTTAATATATAAATTTTACTATAAGTGGAGCACTGTGTTTAGAGTAATTAGGAAGCTGAAGATGGGAAAAAGAGAACGATTAAGTCCTGGCTTCAGAAAATTTGCAAGGAACACAAAGAGTAAATAATTAACCACTACAAGAACGAGTTTGGACTTTATTCCAACAGACACTGAAAATTACTAAAGTTTTACAAAGGGAATGAGAAACTTGCCACAAGCTTTAGGAAGACAGCATTATCTCTCACTAGAATGTGATGCAGAGATGATGGGAAAGAGACTGGAATCAAGCAGAGTAGTTGGATGATTGCAATAATCTCAGTAAGAGATAATGAAAACATGAAGTGGTTAAATGGCAAGGGAAATTAAAACAGACAGTAGGAAGTAGAATAGTTAGAAGTTGAAGGCTATTTCAATGTGGGTGTTATGGAGAAGAAAGAATAAACTTTGTTATTTCTGATTCAAATGATGGCATATCATTTGTTGTCATTGCAAACAAAGGAGCACTCTCATCATCTTTTATTTTAAGGACACTGGAGTCAAAGTTTCATGAGAACAGCCACATAACAATAATATCCAAGTAGTAGTTGGATATTCTTTCATCATAGAGATGCTAATTTCTATTATTTACAGAGAAACCACAGTAGAGAAAAAGGTAAATAGACATTGTAGAATGAGAAGAAAACAGAGACAACATGAAAGGAACAGATAGCCATGCATGATTATTTGTGAAGAACTTCTGCCTGCTCTCCTCTTCGTTATTGCCTTCTTTCTTGGCTTGCTTGCTTGCTTGGCTGACATTATCCCACTTGAGCCACAACTCCAGCCCAACTTTTTCTTTCCTTTTTCTTGTTTTTTTTTGAATATGGAGTCTTATAGACTTTTCTGCCTAGAATGGCTTCAAAACTGTAATCCTTAGGATCTCAGTCTTATCAGCTATTAGAACCCAGATTCAAATAGTGATTTTATTTTATTTTGTCTCATATTTTGAGAAAGGATTTTGCTGTGTAGCCCAGATTAGCCTTCAACTTAGGAACCTCCTATTTCCTCTTCCTGAGTGCTGGGGTCATAGGTAGATACCACCATGCTTATCTCAAATACTAAATTTAAGGAAGTCAAACAGAGTTTACTCTCCTCCCCCACCTTGTTAGCTTTTTTTATAAGGCAAAGATTCCATGCATACAACTGACCAATATTAAAGAGTTAGTGTATCTAATACTTAGGTGCATGTCAGAATGAAAGGCAATAATGACACTTTCCAAATGAACTAAATACCTATTGCTGTAAAGTTTAAAGCCATGTCTAATTTTTCTTCCTCTGTTCTTGTGTGGAATTAATCCATCACTAAGATGCAGTTTGGAAAATCTAAGTACTGAAAGGGTTATAAAGTCCACCTGATATGTCATCTTGTATGTCTTCTCATATAAATGTGCATATTGTTATTCACAATGGCCCAAACTGGAAACAATCCAAATATCCATCATCAAGTGAATGGATAAAAATGTGCTACATCCATTCCATGGCACAGGATTCAGTCACAAAGCAGTATGAACTATTAATACATGCATCAACTTGGATGGACCTCAAAATAATTATGATGAGCATAAGAAGTCAAACAAAAAGAGCAAATACAATATGGCTCTTTTAATATTGACATTCTAGGAAACAAAATTAAAGTTTATGATACAAAAAATAACAGTCATTGCCTGGAAAAGAAGAGATCAAATTTAAGGGTTACAAGGAAACTTTAGAATTTGTGCTCTATCTTGAATATGGTTGTAATACACTGTTGCATTCAATTCATTCATCAAACTGTACATTAACAGTTGGCAATTCCTAATATAGAATTAACACTTTAATTGAAATAAATCTATAAACTCCATTTTTGTGTATCAAGTAATATTCCCCAACTATGAAACCTGTGAGCTATCTATTGTATACCTCATGTATTGTACACAAATTAAGACACTAAAACAACACATATAAACCTAGTGGGACATTAAAATGTGGCCCTAAATTTAGGACTCTAAGTTATACATTCAGAAATTATCATCTATTTCTTTCACTTTTTTCTTTAACCTTTATTTTTTCCTTCCTTCCCCAAATAAATTTTGAGTATTTCCTTTGGTAGTCAATAATTCTAGGAACTTCAAAATTATTTTCAAAATAAAAAACACAGACTTGGTTAATACTTGCACTTAAAGTTAAGAAGAATAAGAGGTTAACAAATGAATAAGGCAGAAGAGCTCACAAGTTCTGAGGAAAGAAGGATGGCCAATAGACACATGAAGAAATGCTCAACCTCTCTAGCCATAAAAGCAACACAAATCAAAACAACGTTGAGATACCACCTCACCCCAGTTAGAATGGCTAGAAGCAAGAACTCTAATAACAACAGATGCTGGAGGGTATGTGGACAGAAGGGAACCTTACTGCATTGTTGGTGGGAATGTAAAATTGTTCAACCACTTTGGAAAGCAGTATGGAGGTTCCTCAAAAGACTCCACATAGAGCTCCCGTATGACCCAGCAATCCCACTTTTGGGCATTTACCCAAATGATCACAAACAATACCATACTAAAGCTACCAGCACGACTATGTTTATTGCAGCATTATTTACCATAGCTAAGATATGGAACCAACCCAGATGCCCCTCAGTAGATGAAGGGATCAAGAAACTGTGGTATATATACACAATGGAATTCTATGCCTCCATCTGAAGTGAATTTTTTAATGTTACCTCCCCAATATCTAATCTTGTGAAGAAAAGAAGAAAAGGAAATCAATCTTCATGCCATGTATGCAGGATATGATCATTGGAAATACAGTACCATCCTATAGAAGTGCCTAGAGGAATCACTTGGTCTAACTCTCATTTCATAGGAATTGAATACATAACCTATTTCTTGATCTGTCCTGGGAGTTGAATTAGTGGTATAGGAAAAAGGCACAGTCTAGATCTAAATATTTACTAGTGGTAGAAGATGTTCCTATGAGTGGGAACAGACTGTGTTTTAATCATATTAAATCATAAGAATGAATATTTTACTAAAAACAGCAATTACATGAAACTTTGTAACAGAATTTAAAGGAAATTAATTAAAATAGGTAGTCTTCGGATAGCTAATGGCTTGAAAAAAAAGGAATGCAGGATGGTATACAAAGCCCTTTCCTTGCTTTCCTACTTTTTGCCTTGGAATCTATGTTGAAGGTCAGCACCAAGAACTTCTGTTTTCTAAACTTTTCAGCCTTAGGAATTCTATCATTCTAATCTTTCCCAATGAAAACAATTAGCCTGTGTCTCCCTCGTTCTCATTAAAACAAGTAGTTTTCACTATTGTTCAGAATAACTTCTGAACAAGTGCTGGGCACAGGTGCTTCCATGGAAATTTGGAGGCAACATGACACTTCAAATCTGCCTCTGAATCTTATGACCATCTTCTGGCATAGGTTGGGTTTCTGTGCACTTTACTACCACACTGGTATGCACTTAGCAGGCCTTTCTCAGGAAATAAATTGGAAGAAGCTTTAGACAAGGAAGATATCAAAATCAAATCATAGGCAACTTCAGTGTATTAAAGGTGTAAAGGCTATCAGGAGTCAGGATGATCATATTAGAGGTGAAAGATCCTTTCCTGAACAAACAGGAGCAAGTTTAGAAAGAATCAATCCTGCTCTTAAGCAGTTATATCCCTCTAGTTAATTTACTACAAGGACTCCAAAGTAAATGTACCATCACCCTGTCCACATATCCATACCCTAAACCACAAAATATAGAAAATGATTCTAGGCTCTACTCATTTACTATATGTGGGAGAATGTTAGAAACAACATAGATGTTTTAGGAACCTTCTGGAGAGAAACCTATCTGGGTGAAATAATCCATAATCTTCCTTCATACCCAATACCAGACCAAGTCTCTATCCATTATAGTTAACAACTCAACATCATCAACTGACTTGAGAGATTTCCTCCCTTCCCTTCCTCTCTCTTTCCCTCTTCCTCTCTATCCTTCTTTTTCTCTCAACTGATAGTTATGAGCAGCAGTAAGACAAACTATGCACAAGCAATTGTTTCCTCCAAAGACTAACCATTCATTTTTGTAATATGTAAAGAACAAATAAGAAACCCCAAACAAAATTGTTCCTGCCACTTTCTCTTTCATACCAGATGGAATGGAACTGCTTACACAGAGAATGCACCCTTCAAATATAGACCTTCTCAAAGGGCAGCAATGGATTCATGTTCAGCACAGCTTTTGACATGCCCAGAATGAGCCAGAGCTATCAAATGGCAGCAGGCACTCAAGTGACATTTGCTTTCTGAGTGGCAATTTTCCAGGGAGGCTTTTCACTCCAGTTTTGGGCTTAAACAATGTGCACATAGGGTTGAAAGGACCTAAGACTCTAGGGAAGGAGGTGTGGAAAATAATAGCAATTGAATATTCAAGAAAACCAAGCTCTTGGAAACCAAGGAATCAGTTACCCATCTGGTATCCTCACTCCCACTATTCAAGTAGTGGTCCTTCTGCCATCTGCTTACCTCTGAGCAGCCACAGTTGCAGCAGCATCTAGAGCAAAATGTCTCATCACGTTCTCCTCCAAATACTTCTGTTCCCACTTAGTCATATCAGCTTCCAGGGCTAGAATCCTCTCCTCCTTTTCCCGAAGGAGCTCCATCAGCGCAGCAGCATTGTATTCAGAAACATTGGTGGGCTGAGAGCTGCCTTGGCGCTATTGAAGGATATACCGAGACCCCTCCATTAATGAGAATGTAATCATAGTCAGGGTCTCATTTGAAGGAATTACTGTTCAAATTACTTTACATTGGATTTTTTGGGGGGAGTGGGTGGGTTTGGTTTGGTTTATCTGTTTTTGTAGTGCTGAGGATGGGACTAGTGTTTCAAGCATGCTGGCAAGTGCTCTACCACTGAGCTACATCCTTAAACCATAATTTGGATATTGATTCTGGAAGAAGAAGGGAATTCAGATATTCTCCTCAAGATACAAGACTTCTTAGTCAGAAAAAAACCCTACCAGGCTGGGAATGTAGCTTAATGGTACAGTGCTTGCCTAGCCTGCATGAAGCCCTGGATTTGATTCCTCAGTACTTCATAAATAGAAAAAGCTGGAAGTGGCACAATGGCTCAAGTGGTAGAGTGTTAGCCTTGGGCAAAAGAAGCTCAGGGACAGTCCTCAGGCCCTGTGCAGGTTCAAGACCCAGTACAGGTAAAAAAAAAATACCCTACCATATCAAACTATCATACTGTTTGGAAAGTGATTCAATGGTGTACAATATGCCACCCTTACCTGCAAGCATGGGATATAAGAGAAATGGAATTTAGAAATCTATGATTTGGTTCCTGGCTTTCCCTAATTTCTGTGATCTTTAGTGTATCATGAAACCTTCTTTGATTTCATCTCCTATAAACCCAAGGCTAGAAGATTTCTAAGTATGATTCCCAATACTATAATACTAAGAGTCCATTTGTATAGCAGCTTCACTTCTTATAGAGTTTCTGTTTGGGTTCATGTGGAAAAATAAAAGGTGTAAGACGGGAGGGAAAGGATGGTAGGGGAAAAACAAAGGAGGAGACAACAATGCGGGATAAGAAATGTACTCACTACCTTGGTTATATAACTGTAACCACACCTCTGTACAGTATTTTCACAATAAAAAACTTTATCTAAAAATAGGTGTAAGATCTTCAATATTAAGGGCATTTCTGTGATGAGCTAAACAAGGAAGTGGACTTCACATTTACAATGGAGAAATAATTCAGAGAAAGATCAGGGAGGACAAAAATTGTAAAGAGAAGCATTAGCTTTTTTGTGTTCATACTAAATGCTAAATAAGTAACTGGGAATAATAACTTTACCTCCATTCTTTGTTAACTTCCTTCCTCCTTCCTTTCCTCTGCCTCTTTCTCTTTTCTTACTTCCCTTACATTCTCCATACCTGCTGAATCCGAAGGGCTTCCAATTCCCTCTCCAGTCGTGTCCGGAGTCGGTGCTCCAGCTGCTCCCGTTTCTCACATGCTGCCTGGAGCTGCACGAGGGCCTGTTGCATTTTCTCCACCTTGTCTACGTACACTTGCTTCTTTTTCAGCTAGAAGTTCAGGTTGGGATTTTTGCAAGATGGAAGGAAAGACAACAGTCAGCTATTTGACCCCCAAATCCAGCCTGATGTTTAGATCTCTTCCTGTCTCCGAGTCCAAATCCGAAAAGAATGAACAGTAAGATGTGATGAGCCACAAGTTGCCTTTTGTTTCTTATATAAACACTATGATGAGGGATAGAGATTGAGGACCTTTTGAGTTACTTCCTCCTACCCCCACTTCTATGTGCTCCCCTTCCCCGTCTATTTTCCTCAATATAGTGTCATAAAGGGTAAATTTTTCATGTACAGATGTTCTCATTTCTCTTCTTCTCCAGTCTAAACAAAAATATTCTCGAGCAGAGTATGTCATATTTTATTCCTTACAATAGGAAAGAGAAAAAAAGAGGAGGCAGAGGAGGTTCTCAGGGGAGAAAGTTTAACTTGGTATATCTCCTTTTTTTTTTTTTTTTTGGTCCAGTCATGGGGCCTGAACTCTGGGCCTAGGCGCTGTCCCTCAGCTCTTCAGCTCAAGACTAGAGCTCTACCACTTGAGCAACTACGCCACTTCCGGCTTTTTTCTTTTTTCTTATGTTGTGCTGAGGAATCGAACCCAGTGCATGCAAGGCAAGCACTCTACCACTGAGCCACCTTCCCAACCCCAGGTATATCTCCTTTTATGTACTGTCTTTATATGTGGGGAAAAGAGTAGGCACTGAAGGTACAAGGAGGACAGAATTGTCTTTTTGAAGTCTGTTCCTGGTAATTACCCAATGTAACCTATCACTCTCCTGGAAAGTTTTTTTTTAATGAATCTGCCATGCATCAAATGTCTTTAATTTTCTTTTAGTTTTGTGCCAGTACTGGAACTAGAACTCAGGGCCTCACACTGCTTGCTTGGCTTGTTCACTCAAGGCTGGTATTCTAACACTTGAGCCACTTCTGGCTTTTTCATGGTTAATTGAAGATAAGAGCTTCTTGATTTGGCTTCGGGGGTTGGTTTCAAAATGTGATCCTCAAATCTCAGCCTTTGAGTTGTCAGGATTATAGACGTGAGCCATCAGCACACAGTATCTTTAGTTTTCTTGTTAGCCAGTACTGTTCTACTTGTCCTTTAGAAAAAGGCCATATATTATTGGTGACTTCTATTTCACAAGCCCACAGTGATGACTGTAGTTTCTCAAATTGTGCTTTGGTAAATTGAAAGATCTGTAAGGACTCAGAAGAATTGATCACATTTAAAGCCATGTGAGTAAAAACTAATTCATCCTCTTTGCAGGTGTATATGCCATATCCCAAAGTAAAATAGGGCCATAAGTGGTTTTTTCTTTCTTGCTATTGTTTCTAACGTATTTATAATGTACTATGTGATCTTTTTGTTGCTTTGTATGTTCCTCCTCCACTTATAACCCCAAATACAGTTTTCACTGTATTTGATGTCATTCTAATTTGGGGAGGGGAGGGGAAAAAACAAAATGTTTAAGTAGGGATACAGATTGACCCATTGTAACAATGAGATGTACAAGACACTAGGTTGAAAAACGAACTTTACAATTTAGGCAGGGGTGGGGGGGTGGGGAGTGTAGTTGTGGAGGTGGGAGGAAAGGGATGGTAGGGGAAAAACAAAGGAGGAGGCAACAATGCTTGATAGGAAATGTACTCATTACCTTGTTCACGTAACTGTAACCCCTCTATACAGTATTTTTACAATAAAAAACATTAAAAAAAAAAGCAGAGGCAATGGAGACTATTGATTCTACTGGTATATCCTTCTAATTGAAGCTAACTCATGCCTCTCTAGCAATGAAGAAATGAGGTCCTAAGAGAATGAATCTTCAAGAAGATATTCTGGACGGCCAAGAAAATAGGAGAAAGGACAGTCTTCCCAGTTTGCTAGCAAAAGGAAAGATTCCGTCTCTCATTGTACTTTTGTGGCACCCTTGACATAATAAATCAAGCAGTGGTCTCCTTATAAAGCAAAAATTCTTCCAATAAGGGCACAAACTGTCATTGCTGTTTTCATGGAAGTCTAAAATCTCTTAAGTTCTTGAGTTACCTATGCAGAGTCAATTGCAATGTCATCATTGCTGACAGCATTTTAGTTGAGGCTAAGCCAACATGGCCAATCTAACTCTCCCACTGCAGAAACCAGGTAATTCCTTCACATAGTCCAATCACTACTCTAGAATTTCCAGGTAAGTAGCACTGGCATGCATTGCTAGGGAGATAATGCTTGTCTAAAAACTGTCTATTCCACTCAATTGGAATTGTTGAACTTTCTTCTGGTGGAAGGAAATCTATTTTGTATTTCCCAACCAGACCTTTTGTGATGGGAAAACACAATGTTTAACCTATGTGATTGGGAAACACAAACAAAATATTTTTGGATACTTTTCTTAAGCTTTTCCTTTAATTCTAGGCCTTATTCAATTTAACCATGTAAACCAGTGAAGAGGAGTTCTAATCCTAAGTGTTTTTACCCTTTAAATATTTTCTAAGGAAATGAAACATACAAAAACTATCGCCCTACCTCTTTCTCTCAAGTTTAAACTTTTCTTTCTTAGGGCACATAACTATTTGTAATACAATGGCTAAGGTAACCAAAACTTTCTTCTATTTACTAAGTTTTGAATTATTGAAGAGCAGGAAATACTCTCTATCCTTCACCTTTGGGGTTCTATAATCCTTGTAAGCTTTTTAAAGTCAAATGTATTTGTGAATTGCTCTGGAAACCCTAAGGGAACAGTGAAATGTTAATGCAGTGAATGTTAATTATAATTATGAAAACTTACAGCAGTAATACCTACAGGCAATTAAACTTAGATAGTATGCAGTTCTTGCCTTGATGGTGAAATACTGCAATGTAAGCTAAGGAAATTGAAAAATGAACAGTCCATGACTATGTATATTTGTCTATACAAAAGGAAATGTAAATATCTTAGCAAAAAATCTTCCAGCGAAAGAGTCACCAAGTCTACCTTCTTCAAGAGAAAAAGAATAAAGGCCCAAGGAAGTCTCTGAGTTGGCTGGGGATAGACGTGCAAGTAAGAAAAATTCCACAAAGGAGACTATGAAGAAACAAAAATTAGACTTTCCTACTGAGATAATTTTTCTACAAGGTACTAAGATCATTGCTGCTAGCATCAATCTCCTACCCCTTTAAAAAGAAGTACAGATCAGCTGGGCACCAGTGCTCACACTTGTAATCAGCCATTCAAGATGCTGAGATCTGAGGTTTGTGTTTGATAGCCCATGTAGGAAAGGCCCTGAGACTCTTGAGCCAGAAGTGAAGCTGTGGCTCAAATGTTAGAGTGCTAGCCTTCAGCAAAAATGCTCAGGGACAAAGCCTAGGCCCTCATTGCGTTCAAGATTCAGGACACAGATACACACATACACACACATACACACACACACACACACACACACACACACACACACCAATCATATATTCAAAATGATCTCTTTGTAAATGCTTAATCCCTGGATATGTTAGAATAGAAAACAATTCTTGAATACTTTATAGATGTCATCAACAATGTCAGCCATTTTCTAAATTCCACACTCATCTATATATAGAAAAGGACAAATATCTAGATGGTGTAACTCCACTACTATCCTGTATTTTATAAGCTTCATGTCTACCTTTATTGTGATAAATTCCCTTTTCTTCTTTGCCTCTCTTCTATAAATTTATCTATAGTGCTCATTTTCTTGAGTACTATCAGTACTTGCCACACCCAAGTCTCCAAATTACTTACCCCAAGCACTTACAGAAGTCAGTTCTTATAGCACCCAAGTCCCCAACTTAGCAGTGGTATTAGAAATGTCAGTGGCTCTTTCTTGTGTGAAAAAAGGACTATATATTAAATTGGTTAAGGTCCTGAGTTCTAGACTCTGAACGCACAAGTCCAAATCCTTTCTCCTTCACTAGCTATGCAGCTTGAAAGAAGCTACTTAGATCTCTCTGAGCCTACTTCTCCCCAAAGGTTGAACTTACTCATTCATCATTAACAAGGATACGATGATAATGTGATATATGATATACCGATTTTAAGATCAAATGAGATAACACATACTGTCCTTAGTAATAAGTGTGATACAAAAATTACTCAGAGGTCTTTTTCCCCTTTTGAGAAAAAAATGAACAACTAGTCAGACAAAGTTCTAATCCTTTTAACTAGAGAAAACACTAGGCCTGAGGAAAATCTAGGCCTCAAATAGTTCATGCAATGGAGCTCTAATAGCATTGTACAACAAAGAGATTCACTGGTGATACAATATAGGCAAAAAATCAGAAGTTGAGTAGCTAGAAAGACACCATATTCTCTCAAAAATAACATGTTAGGGGATTCTTCTACTCTACCTGTCCTCAAAGGTTTTAAAGGCTTGTGGAGAAACATTTTCCTACCCTCTTTTTCTCCCTTTTTCCTTCTGTCAATATTTCCTCTCCCATCTTTCCTTTTCCCTTTCCTGTCTCGCTCACACATACATATCAAACATCTCAATGAAAGGTAAAGAAGTAAGGTAGCAACAAAAAAACCTGGGTTCCAATTCAAGATCTGCTATTAATGGTTACTTGTTTCCCTGTTGTTAGCTTCAGTCTCCATCTGTTAAAAAAACCAAAGGTTTTCAGGAATCAGCAAACAAATATGGCCTGAAGCAGACCAGATGTAGCCAAGCTCATTGATTTCTATCATGTTAATGGATGTTTACCAGACAAAATGTCAGAGTGGAGACATAGCAGTTGCAAAAGAAACTATGTGGCCCATGAAATAATGAATCAGAAATATCTATCTGATCCTTTACAGAAAAAAAATTCAACCCCTGGAGGTCTTGAAACTGAGTTTCAATGTCTTATTGTTTCATGAAGAAAGTTAAGGGGCCATTATGTTAGATGGGTTGAATAACTCTACCACTATGTATCATACTTCTGTACAAAGCTTTGAAAACATGATTGCTACAGCTCTGTATATTCATATTATTCATTCTTGTGTTGTTTTTCTAAAGCATGG